ATAGAAAGAAACACTTAAATTTATTGTTATTACAGTTAGAGAAAGTCATCTACCAAGGTTTTAACTTGTTCAAGAAGTAGTGGGGCTGGGGGGAAGCGAAATTTTGATTTTTAGAGTGCTGTTTTCCAGCTGACTGTGTTAAGTGATCCTTTCTGTGACAAAGCACTTGGCACAGTCTTGCAAAGATGTTTGTGTTACTTTTACATCACTATCCATTTTTTAAAAATATATTTTATTGATTTTTTACAGAGAGGAAGGGAGAGAGATAGAGAGTTAGAAACATCGATGAGAGAGAAACATTGATCAGCTGCCTCTTGCACATCTCCTACTGGGGATGTGCCCACAACTCAGGTACATGCCCTTGACTGGAATCGAACCTGGGACCTTTCATTCCGCAGGCTGATGCTCTATCCACTGAGCCAAACCGGTTTCGGCACTATCCATTTTAACAATAAGTTGTTACATGGGGCAGGTAATAATTTATAGCAGGTGATCAGTATGACTCCTGAAGTGTTTTGCAAAACCAATTCCTCCTTTCATTTTTTTAGTGTTGTTGTAATACTCTCTTGCTAAGACTATGACTGTTACCTTGTCACAGGTATGCCCACATACATTCCTCTCCACACATACACATGTTATTGCCAAAGAAACTATATATTTAAAAACATATTTGATATTACTACTTCTAAAAATAAAAAAGTATCATTAGATCTTTATGTTATACAGAATAAAACTATGATGTCCATCAACAATATCCATCGTCTGGCTCTCTAATTTGCAATTTTCAGCCTCATTTTTGGTTACTCCCTTCACAGTAATACATGCAGTTAAGCTACTTACATTATGTCCCCAAACATGTATTAGCTTATGAACCATTCTGCTTCACAAGCATATGGTTAAGCCATCAGCTTAGTATGGATTACTACTTTCAATCTCCATTAAAATCTCACACTCTCTTCTTGCACTCAAAATTGTACCTCCTGGAAAAGCTTCCATACTGCCTTCTTCCCAGTATAGGCTTCTCCTTGGTATTCCCATTAGCTCTGGGATGTTCTCTTATGATATTCATTTCATAATTTCTTTTCCTCCATCTTCGGTATTCTTTCTTCCAGGAACACTGGTTCAAGTTGGATATTTGTGTTTTTTTATATTTCTTCTGTACTTCGTGTTTTTTCCATCATATATACATATATATGTATGTATGTATGTATGTATATATATATGTATGTATATATATTAAATATATTTTTATTGATTCCAGAGAGAAAGGGAGGAGAGAGAGAGAGAGAGAGAGAGAAACATCAACGATGAGAGGGAATCATTGCTTAGCTGCCTTCTGACTCCCCACATTTTAAAGTATATTTTTATTGATTTCAGAGAGGAAGGGAGAGGGGGAGAGAGAGAGAGAAACATCAACGATGAGAGGGAATCATTGCTTAGCTGCCTTCTGCACTCCCCACACTGGGGGTCAAGCCCACAACCCGGGCATGTTCCGTGACCAGGAATTGAACCATGGCCTCCTGGTTCACAGGTCTATGCTCAAACACTGAGCCATGCCGGCTGGGCTATCATATATTTCATTACGGGGGCGGGGGGGGTGTCCTGTTTATCTATGTCATAAGAGATTTTCTAACCTTTTACTTCCATCCCATTTAATTTCAACAATCATTTTTAACTTTTCAGGAGTATTTTTCAAATTCTCTAGTTGTTTTTGTTCTTGTTTTATTGATGTCATATTGTCTCATATCTGTGGAGATACTAATTGATGGTATATAAATTTTCTTTGGTTCTCTCATTTATCTTGACCTTTCTTCATTATGCTGCATGTTTTGTGATTCTTGGTTGACCCTTCAGATGTATGAATGAGAGGTAAGAATGAGGGATAGGGATGATTTAAGGTTGAATGGGTAGGGAGCTGGCTCTTGCACCAGTGGCCTCCTAATTGTTAGAATGAATAGGGGTTTGTGTGTCGGATCCAATATTTCACCAGTTGCCCTGATATTTCCTTCAGTCTCTTTAGAGAAAGACCTCACATTATTTGCCTTAGATTATGAATGGTCTCACCTACAACTTAAAGAGATGTATTGTAGATTTTTGAGACAGGAAACTAACAGGGTAAGATTAATTCAGAGAATATGCTGATGTGGAAGACACTAGCATAGGGAGACTTGAAATGTTAATGAAAAAACTGTTACACTTATCCAAGAAGGAGATAGTTAGGACCTGAAGTAGGGTATTAGTAACCCAATGAAATGGTTGGGGCAGATGAAAGAAATTATGAAGATAGAATGGTACATGTTTCTTTTTTTTTTTTAATATATTTTATTGATTTTTTACAGAGAGGAAGGGAGAGAGATAGAGAGTTAGAAACATCGATGAGAGAGAAACATCGATCAGCTGCCTCCTGCACATCTCCCACTGGGGATGTGCCTGCAACCCAGGTACATGCCCTTGATCGGAATCGAACCTGGGACCTTTCAGTCCGCAGGCCGACGCTCTATCCATCGAGCCAAACCGGTTTTGGCGGTACATGTTTCAATAAATAGTTTGGGTAAAACTAAGGATTGAAACCAGTGTGACTAGAAAAATGGAGGCACTTTTAAAAAGAATTATCAAGTCAAGGAGAGAAGTTGATTTTTGTGAAGCAATGAGCTAATTCCTTCCCCTATTTCAACAAATCTTTCCCATCTATGTAGTAGCAATTTTTTATATAATAGCAAAGATAGACCATTCTATGTGAATCATCTTTTCCCTGCAATGCCATTGTAGTTTCTTAGGGATGTTCTTATTTTTGAAGTATTATAAATCTAGAATGCCTTATGCAGTAATTTACAAAAGCTTGAATATATGATAGAATTTAAAGAACTATTCTTTCATAATATCGTGAATAATGTACAGAACTTAATGATCCATAAGAGATGGAAGTTTAGATTTGGAAGGCCCAATCTAAATGATCAATTATAAGTTTACTTATAAATGATACCTGTCAAAAATTGTAATAATGGAGAGTGAAATCAAATAAAATTGGTGATAGTGCCCATGGACACTAGAAATGAGAAGTAAATAAATAAGTGATGGAATTTTTACTGTAGAAACAAAACGTATGAACAACCTGTGTCCATTCTCTTCATTGAAGTAGTTCATCTATACTCCACTTCGTCTGATTTAATAATTTGTACTTTCTTGAGTGAGGAGTAAGCAAGGGGATAAAAGCAAAAGAACTCTTTATAATTCATGAGGGAAAACTTAGGGGAAACGAGAAGCTTTGGGATTGTTAAAAAAAAAAGCTTTAAAAATAATAATTGTTTTTATTTTAAAGGGTGTAGGCAGTTGTATTTTGTTTTGTTTTGTTTTGGTTTGGTTTTCTGATTTCTACATTGCATCAGACAGCAGAAAAGGTGCTGCCAGTTGCAGACTTCCCCACGAAGGGTTTCGCAGTGTCAGGTGACCTAAAAACAGTTAAAAACCCTGTTTTCATGTATCATATTACTTTCACAATGAATACACTCCTTTTGCGTTGAACTTTGAAGTATTGTTTCTGTTTGTTCCATATATCCATTTGGTTATTTGTAATTATTGAACTGCCTTTTGAATCATGGACTTGCGAGGGGTAGAGATTTTCTGGTTCAGTGTTTCCCTAAGTGTGCTAGTCATCTGCACTTATAAAGCAAGGGCTCTGGCATCAATTATGTCAGGAAATTGCTAGGTTAAACACAGTTAGATAAGGTTCTTATTTCGGTGTGGGGGAAAGGGGAGGGCATCTTAGAAACTTTAGTACGATTACTAAGGGGAAACAATATATTGTATAGTATTTCACAAACTTATTTGACCACAAACTCCTTTCTTCATGGAGTCTGTTTTGGAACCACTGTTCCTCAGAACACCTATGGGGAAACTCAAATCCCTTAAATTTACAGATACATAGAAAAGAGATAAAATGACTCACTGATGGCTGCACACTTGTTTACCCAAAGAGCTGGGCTTGGACCAACGTCTCCTACCATATTTCGTTTTGCACCCTTTTGCCCCTAAATTTAGGAAAAAATCTTTTAAGACTACATGATATTCCAAATTAGATCTGTAAAATATACACAAGGGGTTTGAAGAAATTAACTAATGATTTTCACACTTTTTTTAGTATATTTTGAATTGGCACATTTACTTTGACAAAAAGAGTAAGATCCAAAGAGCTAGTTCACATTTGTAATCAAGGTTATACTTTTGTAATCAGAATACTTTTCTTCCTTTTTTTTTTTTTAAAAAAAATCAACTGTCTTTCATGCTATAAAAATGTATTTCCCTTTAAGTTATAAAAAGTTCACACCGTACAATTATGTATTATTGAAAAGCTTCCCCACTTTCCCAGAAAAGGACTGGAAAATGACTTTGTTGTTCCAGATTCCATCTCTACTAGTACATACATAAACATGTAACATTTAACTTTTAAAGACTTCTTGACATAGATGGTAAACACTCTTATTTAACCTTAATTTTTTAAATCAACAGTGTTGCTTGTTTATCTTCCTACATTAATACATGCAGATCTTCTTTAAATGGCTCAATGACACTACATTCTATAGCTCTACTGTAATTTATTTAATCAATTTACCAATGATGGACACTAAGGTAGTTATTTTCTTACCAGACAGTGCTGTGGTAAATTTTGATATAGGTCTTTTTTTTTTAACCTTTGTGTGAGTATGTCTGTAGGAGAGTCCTTGAAGTGGAATTGCTGGGTCAAAGAATATTTAAATTTTTGTAAGTATTGCCAAATTGTCTTTAAAAAATGGTATTAGTTTATTCCCTCACTGCCAGCCTTGCAACAGGAAACTTTAAAATGGCATATAACCGTCACTGAACTTAAACAAAACAGACTTTATACTTAGTAATAAGTAACAAAGAATATTTTGCTATGTTAATCTTAGAATTATAGAGATAATTTATAAAGCATTGATAATCATGATCTCTTTCTATTCCCCTCCCTCCTCTGCTCTTTACAGAGCAAATTATTCATGGAAGGATTTAGAAGCCTAAAAGAAGGAGAACCAGTGGAATTCACATTTAAAAAATCTTCCAAAGGCCTTGAATCAATACGGGTAACAGGACCTGGTGGGAGCCCCTGTTTAGGAAGTGAAAGAAGACCCAAAGGGAAGACACTACAAAAAAGAAGACCAAAGGGAGATAGGTAGGTCATCATTTTAATTTGTTAGTTTGTGAGTTTATTGTATTTAGGAAAGACTTGAAAATTTATTTATATTTTTATATTATTGGACTTCATATAGTCTAGTAAAAATAACATGCCATCACTCTGTAGCTGAATGGAATTTTTCAGTAATATGGGCTCTCTTGCAGTATGAGCTACCTGCAGAGTCTACTGAACTGGGCACTCAGCATTGCGCACTGACTAGTCGGTCCCCTGCCACCATTTTCATTAGGCTGTTCTTAGACCACAAATGAGGTTGGCGTTTTCAACAGAAAGAAATGCCTGTCTGTACATCCCAGCACCTCACCTGTTTTTTCAAATGGAAATATACCTAATTATTTTGTCTGTTTTTAATGGATAACTCATATATATAGAAAATTCAAATAATATTTAAAAAAAAAGAAGTTAAGGGGAAAAATCACTTCAAATACAAACTGAAATGGGAATTATATTATTATGCGATTTTTTGAAACCTGCATTTGTTTTTTACTTAACTATATGTCACGGAATATTTCATGTCAATTATTAGCATCTACATAGCTTCCCACAGTGTGAATTAGTATTGGGGCATTTCCAGTTTGGCAATCATAAATAGAGTCGCTACAAACATTTGGGTACCACTGTTCAAGAAACATAAGTTTTTCATTTATCTCCGAGTAGGGTTGATGGATAATATGGTCATAGCTATATATTCAGTTTTATAAGACGCTGCCAGCATTTTCCCAGAGTGACTATGCTGTTCTGAAACACACCGACAATATGTGAGAGTTCCAGCTGCCCTGCCTCTTTGCCAGCATTTGGTATTGACAGTATTTTTCACTTTAACGATTCTAGTAGGCAGATGTCATCATGGATTTAATTTTCGTTTCCCTAATGGCTACTGATATTGAGCTGCTTTTTTGTTTTTGTATCATCCTTTTATTTGCTTTGATTTATACCTTTTGCCTATTACTGGATTGTGTGTTTTCTTATTATTGCATTTTGAGAGCTCTTTATATAATTGTAAATAAAAGTTCTTTCTCAGGCATATGGTTTGAAAATCCTTTTTCTAAATTTGTGGGTTGTCTTTCCAATCTCTTAAACATCTCTCGCAGAGGAAAAGTTTTAAATTTTGATAAAGACATTTATCAGTCTTTTATGTTATGTTTATGTGATGTCTTATTTAAGAAATCTTTGCTTAACCCCAGATCACAGAGATTCTTCACCCATGTTTTCTTCTGGTAGCTTTATAGTTTTACATTTACATCTATAGTCTTTCTAGAATATACTTTTGCATATAAGGTGCTTGGGTTAGGTTGAGGTGTTTTTTTTAATATGAATAATATGAATTGTTCAAGTGCTATCTGTTGAAAAAATACCTTTTCTCTTGAAATGTTTTTAGAAAATTTAATCTACTTTCTGTCATTTCAGGTTAAAATATTAAATCTTAAAGTTTTTATTACAGGCAATTAAAACATTTAACAAATTCAAAATGTGGTTTCATCACTCAAAAGAACTTACTTGTTCAAGTCTAATCTATATTATATATATATCAAATTTGTTATATATATAATTTGTTCAATTCTAATACATATATGATAAAAACACATTTTGTGAAGATTTATGTCTTTGTGGCAAGAAACAAAATAATTTTAAAGATTTTTGCCTTAAATTTGAGTAGACTAGTTACAAAAGTAAGTGGGGTTATTTTTTCATTCTATCTTAAAGTTGTTCTTAATTTAGTGTTCAGTTACTAGTGTCCAGTTACCCAGCAGCAGTGTTATCTTGTTTTATTTTAAATCCTCCACATTTAAAATGTTTTCTTAAAGTTTCAAATGAAATAATTTTAGATTTATGTTTGCTGTTTAGTTTTTCTTATGCTCATTAACAAAGAGTAGAGATTGACTAACCCTTACAAAGCTCTCTTTATAGTAAAATGAAGGTTGGAAAGAAAAAATATTTTTAAACTCTATATTTCTTCCCGCAAACTGGCCTACACCATGATTTTATTCTTTAATAAACCACAATTTACTATGAGAAAAAGAAGTATTTTTTAACAGGAAGAAATTATTGGGGAAAAATGATTATTTATGTGTTTGGCACTGTTGATGTTTAGTATTTACATGAAATAATCATGTCAGCCTATAACATATAATTAAATATTTTATATAATAAAATTTCAGTTTATATTAACAAATACGTTATATTTATAAACAGCATGTATACTAAAATAACTCATTTGGAAATCTTTCTGTGTAGGTTAAATTATTTTAATTCTTAATAATTAAAGAATAGAAACATATAATTTTTAAAATCAGTTGAAGTGCATGCATACATGGGAGATGTATATATTGGGTATATACATATAGCTTCATATTTTTTAATTGTTTAAGGTGTTTTATTTTTACCTCCTTTTTTATTCTAATTTTTTTCTTGGGTAGTGACTCTCTTCTTTGTTCTCTTTAACCTTCCACATCTTTTGACCCAAATAGTCCAAGAAGTGCTATTTATAATGCAAGTTTCTTTTCAACAATCTTGACTTGAATGTTGTTCTACTGCTTTCATTCCATTTCAGGCAATATTTTATTTGCATCACTGCATTAGCACATGAGTAAGCTTTTTCATTTTCTACATGAGTTGGAATTTTAATGTTTTTTTTTTTTTTTTTAGAAAGAAGGGTAATTGTTATATAGTTCAGTAGTAATGTTTTTGGCTTATAAGTATAGGAAATGTTTCATTTGATCATATTAGAAAGTCTTGTTCATTTAGCATTTTTAAGATGCTGTTCCTTTAGACTTAAAATTGATTATGAAATGTAACATTCCTTTTAGTCCACTATTAAAATGATATGAGAATGACATATTATATTTACTGTTTATGGTCAGAAAGACCAAGGTGAACATGAACAGAAACTCATTACATATATACACTGAATGGCCAGATTATTATGACCACCTGACGTTTGTAGGCAAATTAGCTATAATTTTGCGCTGAAGTTGCTAGAGGGCCAGACCATTATAAATAGGGAAGCAGGTTGTTTACCACGACAGTAGAAGTGATTTTTTTCTGAAGATGTGGGTAAATAACGTGATTTAACAGCCTTTGAATGTGGGATATATATATATATATGTGTGTGTGTGTGTGTGTGTGTGTGTGTGTATACACTCTTGCCCTTTATAAAAATAAAAGTGAAGATGTATGATTATTATTTTACAGGACAATAATTTTGTGTTTCAAATTCTTTTAATTTGCAAAAAGGTTTGGAAACCGTAAGATATTGTTCTTTATTGAAGGACTGTATATTTTGATTTGTTTATTTAAAAATATTCTTTGAATGTCCTCATTTACCTTAAGTATGCTTAAAACTTGTGGTAACCCTTCTCTAACACCCCCCCCACCCCTCCCCACACACACACTCACACTCTCACCCACACCTTTACAGTAGGATAACCACTTTTAGACATTATCTCTGTGGTTTTTCTCAGGTTCTTTATGGCTAGGAATTCAGGATATTTAAAATCTACATAGAATGCCTTAAAGTAATAAATCTATACTTAGGTGTATGATACAATGATATTAAGGATATCCGTTTTTACATGAAAAGTTCTTTCAATTATTTTATTTTCATATTTTTTCATGTGAGAATCTGCTCCCAAAAGAAAAAGAAAAATGCTCTTTAAGTCCTAGAGATATTTAAAAATGTAAATCAACAAATTCCAATAAATAGCAGTTTCACCCTGATACTTGTGTGATTTGATTTAGGAATTTGCTGTTTCGTAGGTTCCTATTGTGGAAGAGAAATCTCTCAGGCATGAATTGATAGTCCAGATCCTTTGAGGTCTGTCTATTCTGACCTATGACCCCTATTCTTACAAGGTCAACATCTGAGGGCAGGAGATTAAGGCAGTTTAAAGACCGGAATGGTAAATGGAATGGAAAAATTAGCCAGCACATTTTGGGTGCAAAACATCAAAGTCATCAAATAGTTTGCTTATTTTAAACCTGGTTTATGGGTGTAACAAGCTAATTTTACTGTGTTTGTTGGAATAAAAAAAATTTAGTAATTATAATTCACTTCAAGAACCTATTTATATAATAATATGTTTTGACTGTATAATATGAAGTTAATAAAGTTTATCTTCAAAATATTAGGAAATGCAAAAATAATTTGTCACAGTGTCAATACATTTCAGTCTTGGGACTAGTTTGGGTACTTAATTTAAATTTAAATTAGGAAAACATTTACCTTAGCTTTTGGTATGAAATTTTAATTTCTCAACAATGTTGAATAAAACACATACACCTATATCAGCTGATAATTTCAGGTGACTCGGGATTTAGTTGTAATTCTATGCTGTTGACTTTTAAGGAAAGTATGGCTTCAAAAGTTAGAGGCAGAAAATAGAAGAAAGTAAATTGATCAGGCAGGGACAGTTTGTTCTTTTTTCTCTTTTGTTTTTCTGATACTTTGCTCTTTTAATTTTACTTCTTTCCCTCTTAAACTGTTCCCCATGCCTTTGATTATATGCTTTTCATTGTAATTCCACAATATAGACCAGTAGATATCCCTTTTTAGTTCCTATTTTCCGTCCCTTGTAAGCAATTCCCCAGCACCCTTTATTTTACATTTGTTTGTGTCCTGGACAGCTGTGAATTTGCATCTTCTGCTTCCTACTAACGACTGGCAAGGCCTGGAGCTGAATAACTGAACTGTTGCATCCAACTTTCCATTCATCCATAAGGTGACTAAGGAAAATAGTAAAACCAATAGAATACCCAAGTCTCCTTAATTCTTCTACATTTTTTACTCTGTCTCACATTTACCTTATTATAGAGTTAATTTTAGGGTGGTTTTCTAAGTCCTTTCTTCTTGTGATTATTTGGCCAGAGATCTCCTAATGAGGCAATTATAGTTGTTTCCTTCATTCACATTATCTTAGCAGATGCTCTCCCTGCTGTGACCTCTGTTCAGAACGGCAGACAATGTGCCATTCTCATCACCC